GATATTGTGTCTGCTGGTGACAGACACTGGAGATATATCTCCAGTTGTGTGTTTTACAAAAACTGGAAGGCATTTGGACGTCCTAGTGGACCTTTGTGCTTTTGATGACGAATTTTATGGCTCTAGAACCCAACCGGGCCCAAGTGGACGTTATGAAGATAGTGAAACTTTAAAACATAAATATGGACTAACAATAATGCAACAGTAGCCTTTGAAGTGAAAACACCTCATTTAACAAGTTCAATCAATAAGCCCAGAATCGATGGAATCAGGCAGATGTTGTCAATAATTTAAAATGCTACTGCACATCTTTTAAAAATCTCACAATTAAAAAAAACTACAAGCAAATTCTTCTGTCTACCATTATGACTTAAATATGCTAATATGCACAAACTAGCTCATACACAGCATCACCCAGCAAACAAAAGTCAAAGTAGAGAGCACCTGCAAAAAGATGGCAAAAACCTCCTCCTCCACCAATGCACCGAAGACCCCCGGGCTTGGGCAGGGCCCCAGCGCATGCACCAACCACGGCCCAAACCCCCCAGGCCCAACCAGAACCCTAATTCGAAGGCGTAGTGCCCCCTGTATCTCAAGTCTCCAAGCCCACCCTGGACCTGCCAAGGAGCAGAGCGGTGACCAGGCCAGGCAGCCGCCAGAAAAACACCACCCAAGAGTCACCGAAGCCCCATTCTGGTCAGAACCACAGCTCCTGCACAGAACCCCCCAAGAAACCCACCCCTAGGCAACCGCCAGACCCCCCAAGTCCGTACGCCCCCCTAACCCCACTAGGTGATGGAGCGATCAAAGGAACCCAGAGAGATTGATCTGATGTGGCGGCAGAGGCTGTCTCAAGGCTAATATGGTCCAGCAAAAGAGCTCTATATCGGTTAATACTAAGATTATTTTTGTTTTTCCACTTCATGGGGACAGTCTTCTTAGCAATGTGGTGGTACTGCGATGAACACAGTACACACCAACGTTTCAAATGCAGGTTTGACAGGTTTGTGAGTGTACACTTTATCCAAAACCTAGTGACGGTTTACTCATGTTTGTTATTGGGTGAGTGTGGCGTGTTGTATAGAGCACTTTGAGTAATCTGGGAGAGTAGAAAAGCGTTATTCAAGAATCAGTCCACTCACTCTCTAAACAGAGTTTTGTCATGTTACTTTTGCATTATTACATTCTGGCACATGTTCTTATTACATGGCTTGATTAAGGCCCACATTAGGCTGACATCTGGGGCCAGAGCTGAAACTGTTCTGGGCCAGCACAGGGCCACCAGTGCATCTGCAACTGGCCTTGTGCTGGCCCATGTGTGGGCCACCTCTGGCAAACCAGGTCTGGGCCACCAAAGGGCCGTCATTCTTTGCGGTATGTGGGCCTTGTGTAGGCACATTGTGTAGTCCAGATCCGGGCCATACCAATTTTGCTATGTGGGTACCAGAGGGTACTGCATGGTGCTGCAGAATGCTGTGGTAGTCCTTTTGGTTCAGGGTGCCTCTCACTCTGTACAAGTCACCCACCCTGGATCCAGAAAAACAGCCCCAGACCATCACACTTCTTCTTCCATGTTTGACAGTTGATGATACACACTGTGCAACCATCCTTTCACCTACTCGACGGCGTACAAAGATTCTACAAAAATCCAAATTTTGATTCATGAGTCCATAATACCTTCTTCCAGTCTTCAGTAGTCCAATGGTGGTGTTTCATGGCCCAAGCAAGCCTCTTTGTCTTATTCTGATGTCCTAGCGATGGCTTTCTTGCTGCAACTCATCCTGCCCATAGTTTGTGGGTGTGTGTAGTTAATGTTGAACGCTGCATTTGACGCTCAAGTGAATGAGAAAAAACACGTCGATCGGTTGTAAGAAAGTGTGGCAGTATGTAGACCCGAGTGGTGTTTGGTGTTGTCTGATTATATGTGTGCACATTAACTTATATGATGTAGTGGATGTGGTGACACTGAGTGTGTATCTGCGTGATCGTGGTGTGCAAATGAAATAATCTTTGTGTAAAGACCAAGGGTGCAGAAGCAGAAAAACAAGAAAGAAAACTAATTGGGGGGACGTTGGGGTTGAGAAGGAGTGAAAAGAGTACGCTGTTTGTAACTAAGTAGGAAAACAGCTGATCTGTAGAGTGAGGGAAGAGAAAAGGAAGAAGAACATGCAAAGGGCCAAGAGGCAGAGATGAAAGGGAAACTCGAAGGAAAACAAGAACATAGTAACCGTCACGTTTACGCTGCGGTGACTGAGGGTGATTGATCTGTTATGACGTCACGTTGCATTAACAAATTGACATGAATAAGCTAGACAGATAAGGGAAGAGGAGGAGAGAAAAAGGCAGTGCATTCTCATCTGGAGTGGCGTTAATACAACCAGGGAGAGGTGCTGGGGTCGCGACTCTTCACCGTCTCCTCATGAAATCTTTGAATTTGGCCACAACAGGTCGCGGTCTCCTGGCTCCCTGCGATGAACACGGTGGAAGGTGATGTTCTTTACAGTGTCTTCCCGAAGCTTCAGGTGGGTCTTCATGAGGGTTTTAATGGTAACTTTTGCTCCTCAAAAGTTACCTGAAGGTAATCTCATGCTACGGGCCTGGAGATTGATGACACTCTCTTTTATTTTTTTATTTTCTTCAGCTGGGTCACATTCTCAGTTAGACAAGTGACAAAGTCCCACAGCTGAAACCTGAAAGCTGGACAGTCGCTTATCGATTGAGTCCAGTATTTGTTTAACTCTGAGCCACCATTCGCTTTTCCCCGCCAAGTCTCCAGGTGTCTGACATCACCTAGACCTTTGCCATGGAAGATTATCTGGTTTCACCTGATTAGTACTCTAAGCTATCAGGGCAGAACAATTACATTCTCTTCCACTAGAGGGCAGTACAACTACCTGCTCTAATTAAATGGTGCCAACTGCCAGTAAAACAGGAGAAGATGAAGAAGAATTTATGTACCGTATTTCCCGGACTACAGAGCGCACCTGAATATTAGCCGCAGAAGCTAAAATCAGGGGAAAATCCTGTTTTGTACATACATTAGCCGCACCTGACTAAAGGCCGCAGGTGTTTCAATGTTGACTTATCATATGTAAGAGAATATGCACAAAGCGAATTGTCAGGAAAGAGATGGCTGTTTGGAGACACACCCCTTTTGTTAATATTTTGAAAAACAAGTTATGGTACATATTTGCATAACTTTTTAGGTATATGTACAAGTAGCGGTAATTACAAGTAGGAAACATGTACTGTGCTTCATAAATGAGTAACAAATGTAGTACATAACAATAACCTGCAGCACACCAGAAAAATAGATCCGGACTACCTTTCAGGCTCAGGTGCAGCGACACGGCTTTAACAAGAAGAAAAGTCAGTCATTCACCATCTTTCTCTTCTTCCTGCGCACTAAAACCACCAAAGTCCTCTTCTCCAGTGTCGGAAACGAACAGGCTCAGGATGGCTTCGTCATCCACTCTCCGCTTCTCTCCTTCGTTGTCACTTTCAAAACCAAAGAAATCCTCGTTGTCAGTGTCAGAGTCGAACACCCTCTGAAGGGCCGTGGCGGTGTCCTCCTCTCCATCATGCAGCAGTCCAGCCCTTCAAAATCCGTTGGTGATCGTGGATGCTTTCACACTTTTCCACGCTGTCAGAATCCACCGGTGGAGTTGAGCATAACTTGCTTTTCACAAGTTTATCGCCGCTCGTCATCCACGCCTCCCGCTGAACGCTACTTTGAAGTTTGTTTTTCGAGCTACTTGTACGGCACTATGTTGCCTGGCGGACGGACATGTGACTAACATACCACTCTTGAACCCCGATCCTTCCGCCAGGCAACGTAGTGCCGTACAACAGCGGAACAAACAAAACAAATCGTCTTACGATATCACAAAAATCACGGACAATCCTTAGAAAAGCCGCACCTGACTAAAAGCCGCAGGGTTCAAAGCTGGTGCAAAAAGTAGCGGCTTATAGCCCGACAATTACGGTAATAGTCATTTGAAAAGGAAAAAGTCAGTCTGACCTTGGTCCTGGACCGAGAGGAAGGCCGAGCATGAATAGTGATCATAAGAAAGCAAAAAAGGTAAACTGGGGACAATCCGAGCTAACTCCGCTATGCCTGGTGTGCTGTGTGGTTTTTCTAATGTGAAACATGCTGTGGCTCCAAAAGGTTGGGAAATACTGACCTAGAGCATTTTCATGGACTGTGTCTGAGATTAGAGACGTTTTTATACCCAAATTTGAGCCTGGTGGACGCTGAGAAGTCAGAAATGAAACAAGCATATTCATTCATTCGTTTTTTCTGTACAGGAAAGCGAGTCAGTAATTATAATTTGCCATCTTAATCAAAACATAATAATTTGCTTGGATGGATAACATTATATAATAAAAATAATTTTATTTTATCATTAAAATATCATTCCAGTTAAAGAACATGCAAACACTGGTGCATTCGGCATCACAGAAGCATTAATGTTAATTTAGGGCAGCTGTTGCAATAACTTGGATGATTTTTGTGTGATTTCTTTATCGCTATCATAACTAACACAGATCACATTTCTGTAATCTTCAGAGCAACAGCATCAACTGTGGGGAGACCTCGTTTGTCTGTTATTCTGTCCACCCTGTCATAAAACTGTCTCTGCTACCACATTTATTGTCCCTTAATCATTTAAAGTTCAGGTGAATAATTAGGGCTACACTAACAGTCTTCTTATCCTCCTTCATAAATTGGGCTGAAATGGGGAACAGAGTCTCTCCCTTTCTAATTAAGACGACAGATTCACTCCGTTTGCACTAATGGTGGCGGAGTCAGGTACGGTCCTGCTGCTCTCGTCATAAAGTGATGAACTGAAACCTTAATGTGGAATCATGACAGGGGTTCGAAAAGCATTTAGTAAGCGATGCGTCATGGCTGCCTCGGGACAGATTTGGGTGAATTCAGCACAGCAGACAGTAAAAGCAAAGCAACAGGAGGGGTCGGCGACATCTGCGTGACCAACCTGGTAAGATCAGCCTGCTGCTGGAGCTGCTCCTGCACTTTACGGCAAACCTCGCCGGCGGTGTCGCAGACTTTGCCGACCTTGGTGAAGAGGGCTGCGATCTTGTCGCTGCGGAGAAACCCAGCAGCTCGTCTCTTCAGCAGGTGACCCAGGCAGGCCTCGACGGCAGCTGCAGGGACAGCAGGCAGCTGAGTTAATACTGACAAGGGCAGGAGAGCAACCAGAGGAAAGTATACACAAAGTGGAGGAGAAGAGATAACAGCTCAATTTTGAATTGAAGGAATCAGCAAGAAAGATGGAGACTGACATAATTATCACATTAAATGAAATAAAGTCTGAAAAGCTTGTGGTCAGCACAACCAAACACGCCAAATGGCTGAGACGATAGCATTTTTATCAGCTGAACACTGTTATAGTCTGTTCTAGTGTTTGTATCTCTACGCTATCCACTCGGTCTTGTAGCACTGAGCGCTGACGTGGCAGCACAGAGGAAGATTGTGCTCTTCCAACAAGAAATACAGTGTTTTAAAGTGTTAATGTATTTTTTTTAACTTTATGTACTTGATAAATCTTTATTGATTCATAAAACGAAAAAAAGCAGGACTACAACAGCGACCAGGCTATCAAGGCAGTGGGTAGAGAGAACATTAGGGAGGTGGCTTGCTGTTAGCAGTGCCTGTGAGTACACTGATTGCGGATTGTCTAATTACTACTGACTCAAACTTATTTGAACAGAGACAAACTTGTTTTTGAAAGAAAAGGCAGACAAAACCTCATTTTCACATTTTCCCACGAATGTGAGAAGTCGCAATGAAAGGAACCTGATGAGCACAAACATGTTCTGTTACAGTCGTGGAAAATTTGTCTTCTTTTGATTTTGCTTTCATCCTTTAATGGCAATTTCCAATCAATGTGGAATTATCAAAGATTTTCCTCTGAACTGCAAAGTGGTAACTCTGCTAATTATTAAACATGCAGCTGGTTTGAGAATATAAAACTACATGTGTCATTTCTCTGCAAGTGAGCTGCACAGCAGTGTTTATGTGCACATGGGTGCTGCTGCAGCTGACCTCTGATTTCCACCTGCAGGCTTTTATAGATAAAGTTATTAGTGAAACACCCTGACATATTTAGAGGGTTGCCGGCGGTAACCTCAGCGTGCAGCTGCAAGATGACTATGTGGAAGAACAAATGCATTACGAACAGGACATTAGTATATGAGCTGAGGCACAAGTACAGAAGGGCACTGACTCATATGCAGAAAATGAGGGAGAAATTGAGGTAAACAGTCTCTTCCTAGCTGTGACCCATCCATTAGCCGTCTCCCTCCCTCCCTCTGTAATTGCTGCATTAGTGCTCAGCCATAATGAGCTTTAGGGCTGATGTTGAAAGCAAGATTGTGACACAATTATTTCAGCCAAAGCAAACAGAGAATTTAGCTCGTACTTACTCAGAGACTGTTTTAATACGCAGCATGTTTTATTAATGCACCGTTATTTCAAATAAAGGTGTCTGCAGATGCTCTGGATCCAAATGAGCTTCAGTGTATATATACAGAAGCCACAAAGATTATATTTATTAAAAAGCCCATCTGAAATATGTGATTCATGTCAGGTTTGAGCACTTGTGGTTCTCTGCTTGCTTTTGCTCTGTGAGGTGAATCTACCACATAATATTACAGACCGACAACAATGTTATTCTCTGCGATGCTGGGAAAAACCTGCTTTATGGGTGCAATCGTCTGCTTTTATTGCTACTCTAGGCACCTTAGAGGGTTGCTCAGAGGCTTGGAGATTTTCACTCACAAAGCTGTCTGTGCAGTACATTCACAGCAGCTTCTGTCTGGCAGATTAATACATTAGCCTCTGGGGACGTCTTGCTGGTAATACTTTCTCGTGTAAAACTGTCCTTTATCCTATTAGAAGAGGATCGCCAGGATTAGCAGCAGAAGAAGAAGTGAAGGTTTGCAGGGAGGGAATATTGATGCACGGTTGTTTCTGTGGAAACACAAGAATTGAGGACAGGATGCAAGCAGCTCTCCCACGGGAGGAACCGCACCCAGCATCAGCTCATCCTGCTGCCTCTCCTTACAACTGGCCTGTTAATTCATGTTCTGGGTGTCTGTGGCTCTGATGAATCATCAAATCCAAGCTATTACACGAATAATTAGCATCATTCTAGGGCTATGGAAGAAAACACTGTGAAATAAGTGCTGCTGGGACCACAGAGCAGCGGAAGGCTCGTTTCAATACTACCAAAACATGCTCGCCATGCAAAATGTTTTCATTTTGGTTTAAAACATTCGCCGAATCCTTCGAGTCGCCCCTTCGATACCTCTGCTGATAACTCTAGATTTATGACAAGCATAGCTGTGTGTGGTTTTTCAACGCCAGTTTAAAGATCCGGCTGTCCACGTTGGTCATTCAGAAATCCACCATCACACATTATTAGAATATTTCCTAATATCAATGAAAAAGTATTTTAACATACAGAAATGACCAACAATGCACTAATTTACACACTTAGTATGTTGAGTCCATGAATTACTGGATCAGTGTGGCGTAACATGGAGCCAATAAGCTTGCAGCACTGTGTTGAGTCATGGACCCTGGGTCTGAGGAACCCAGGGTCCATGAGCAGATTTGGACTGATATTATATGCTATATGTATATTGAATGTATTGTGCTGCTGTCCCTTGTTTTCCTGCTTGCTGGTGTGTGTGTGTGTGTGGGGGGGTACAGGTGTATCTGGTAGGCCAGTGTACAGGCACCATCAACCCTGGTGGGTGGGCCCTGCCAGGAGGCTGGCCACACCTAGGATGATGCCACACACCTGCAGCTGATTGGCCTCGTCTGGAGGGAGTTACTTTAGAGCACAGGTGTTGAACCCAGGCCTCGAGGGCCGGTGTCCTGCAGGTTTTAGATGTGTCCTTGATCCAACACAGCTGATTCAAATTGCTAAACGTTCTCCTCAGCATGTCCTGAAGTTCTCCTGAGGCCTGGTAATGACCGAATCATGTGATTCAGGTGTGTTGACCCAGGGTGAGATCTAAAACCTGCAGGGACACCGGCCCTCGAGGCCTGGAGTTCCTCACCCCTGCTTTAGAGAGTGGCTGAGCTCCCATCAACGTGGGATCGTTGCGTGAGGCTACCCGTCAATTTCTCTGCTAGATGTCCGTTTTGACACAAGTGTACTAATGGCTCCTCTGTGTTTTTTTTCTGGAAGGCTGTAGGAACAAGGAGGCAGTGAGCACGTTGTATAAAGGGAGCGGACACACAAAGCCACGGGCAAGGGGAGAAGACACTGGACGGGAGTCGGGGAGCACACGGGGATTTATTATTGGATTGTATTTTCTTCACTGTGAATAAACGCACCGTTTGCATTGCAAGAGTCCAGCGTTCGGGTCCTCCTTCCCCACATCCCCACGGTCTGCCAGCGCAGCCGTGACAAGTTGTTACTGAAGCCTGATAGAAGTTGCCTTTAAGTTTGTCTATATTTTTGGATAGCGTGTTTCTGGTCTTCCACAGATTATCCACGGGGTTCAGCCAAGTTGGCTAATCGATCAGTCTGACCAATAACAGTCTTGGTACCGTCGGTAGGTGACCAGTCCCACTGGAAAAGGAAATAAAGGTAAAGGAGAAAGTGTCTCCACAAAGCTTTTCATGGAAGTATGACATCCTGGTAACGGGCTGCACTGACTTTGGACTGAATAAAACACAGTTGACCAAACACCATCGATACCAACCAAAGACAAAGCAACTGTTCACACACTGTGGAAACTTCTCACTGGTCTTCAAACACTTCACACCCCTGGAACTTAATTTACAAATAAAATGCATCTAAAAAGAGAAGTTTTCTATTTATTCCACTACTTTTGACATTGTCCCTGGCTCAGGAGTGGTTTCATATTGGGACAGCAACAGCTGTGTAGTCAGTCACGATGCACAGACATCAGTCTCACATCGCTCTGAACTTCTAACTTCATTCGCTTTTCTTGATAATCTTCTCAAGGCTTTAGTATTTTATTTTATTTTCTGAATTTTTGATACGACACTCTGTAAACAGCCAGCCCTTCAGCAATGACTGTGGCTGCGTGTGCTGAACTAGACCTTCCTGATTTCAGTTTTTTGCATATTTGTCACACTTAAATGTTTTAGATGATCAAACATAACCTGAGTAAATGTAAAATGCACTTTTTCACTAGCCATACCTACAGCTGATAGCTCCCAGACAGATGTGTGTGTGTGTGTGTGTGTACATGTTTAGACATCTTTGTGAGGACAGATGGCGTGATGCTATACTTGTGGAGACCAACAGTCACTTATGGGGACAAATTGAGCGTCCCCATGAGTTTGAAGACATTTTTGAGGCTCAAAATGTGATTTTAGCATCAGGGTTACAGTTAGGCTTTGGTTAGGTTTAGGCATTCAGTTTTGATGTTTAGGGTTAGGGGCTAGGGAGAGCGTTATGTCAATGAGATGTCCTCACCAAGATATGAAAACAAGTGCGTGCGTGCGTGCGTGCGTGCGTGCGTGCGTGCGTGTGTGCGTGTGTGTAGATGGCTGGAAACCCAGTATCATGGCAAAATATGCCGACATGCTGGTCCACCGTGTCCATTTCACGCTATTCCAAAGTGTGAAATGTACACGCATGCATCACCAGCAGGAGGAGATAATATGTTTAAAGCCAAGAAGTTAAAATAAATAAATAAATAAAAGCCAGTAGTGATCAAAAAAAGTATGAAATACATTCAAGGGTCATTAATCACCAAAAACATTGAAGCTCGGCAGCTAATATGTATTTACATGTAACTGTGTTAATGTCTGTTTAAATGTTTTCCCATCACTTTGTAAGTAAACACCTGAATCTCACACATTGTTATCTCTGCTTGTTTTTGAGGTCCAGAAAGAGTGTAAACATGACAACGTTCAGATTTCTCTGCCCAAACATTAGGAACAGCTGTGACATTAAATCTTAGGACAAAGTCCATTCACCAGAAACAGCATGCCAAAGTCGTCAAGCACCAGCAGGTACCAAGCAACCAGGAAACACACACACAACAGCTGTAAAGGGATGGCTAGCAAGCATATGGAGCTGAAATACAATTAATATAAACACTATGAAACACTGAGAGAAAAGGTTCGAGTGCAAAATACAAAAATGAGTTCACAGCAAGGGTGTAGATTTGGCATGGACGGA